ACGTAATTCTTGGAGGTGGAGACAGTTATCCCCTATCGTGGTTACATATCGGCATGTCTATAATGACTGGTTACAATGTGTAGTAGATAGGCAGTGATAGTGTAACTAGTGGATACATGTGTCACTACCATACGCAGTTAACAACAAACTCAAGTATTTGTGAATTAGTAGAGATAAATCAATAATCAGTTCGCACCAAATGTAATTTCGCAAGAAAAATATTAATAACACAGAACAAAAACCAAAAGCAAAATTATTTCTGCCCCAATACTAGTGAATACAATCTTGAATATTTCTTGCCCAAAATAAGTATGAAAGAGTTAAACAAGAGGCCCAAGGGCCTTAGCGGTCACCTGAGTTATACCATAGGTACTGGTAGCTTTATTTTATTGTTTAGATGTGATGTGGAAATCAGCATGTAAACTAAGTGAAATACAATACTTGTCATGTCATCAATGGATAAGTATTTTAAAATATTTGTAAATGTTCCCTTTGGGGCCCCGCCCTAGCCCCTGGGGATGGGGCAGGAATCCTAATTTTCCAAAGTAATACTCTCATTCACCAAAGATGATTCTGACTAAGTTTGAGTAATTTTCTGCTGAAAATGGATAAAATATATACCCAAAAGTGTTATTTCCCTATATAAACTATAGTAAACTTTACCCCCTCCCCAAGGGAGAACGGATAGCTCGGGGGTCCTGAAATTTACAATTTAAATAAAGCCCCTGATGATCTTTCCATCCATGCAGAGAAAATGACTGTAATACCTCTGAGTCTGGAGAAGAAGATTTTTGAAATATTGGTTAATTTTCCCTTTTGGGCCCCGCCCTGGCCCCTAGGGTTGGGGTAGGAATCCCAATTTTACAATTTAAAACCATCTTCCTCCTCCAAGGATGATTCTGACCAAGTAAAAATAATTTCCAACAGAAAATTGTCAAAATATACCCAAAAGTGTTGTTTCCCTATATAAACTATAGTAAACTTTACCCCCTCCCCAAGGGAGAACGGATAGCTCGGGGGTCCTGAAATTTACAATTTTAATAAAGCCCCTGATGATCTTTCCATCCATGCAGAGAAAATGACTGTAGTATAGGACTCTGAGTCTGGGGAAGAAGATTTTTGAAATATTGGTCAATTTTCCCTTTTGGGCCCTGCCCTGGCCCCTAGGGTTGGGGTAGGAATCCCAATTTTACAATTTGGTATCCTCGTCTACCAAGGATGATTCTGACCAAGTTTGAAAAAATTTCATCCACTGGTTCTTGAGAAGAAGTTCATTATGTAAAAGTTTACGCACGACGGACGACGGACGACGACGGGCGGAAAGTGATTGGAATAGGTCACTTGAGCAAAGCTCAGGTGACCTAAAAAGACACATTATAAGATGATCATCTACATTTCTCTTTAACTATTAGGTAGAAGTACTTAACTTATACTTCATCAGAAAAAGTCATTAATTAAAGTAAGATTTTATTTGATTTTCTTAATAATGTGTACAGTTCTGAACAATGATTAAAAGACATATGTTACCTTAAACACAAACATATACCTATCACCTATATTAGAGTTTTCTCCCTCAACAATTTTATTTAGCATAACTAATTCACAATTCAAAATCACCTGAGTGCGGCCCGATGCATATGCTCTTGTGTACCTTACAAAAAACTTTATCCATTCTTGTGTACTTTTCAAAAGGGTCATCAATTCTCGTGTACCTTTTGAAAGTGTCATCAATTTATGTGTACCTTTTGAAAGTGTCATCGATTTCTGTGTACCTTTTGAAAGTGTCATCAATGTCATGGACAATTTCTAAAACTCAGTTGTCTTTCAAATGTTTGGTTCTATTACATGATACTTAATCTTGTAAAATTTTAAATGGACACCATGATTTCTCATTTCAAGATTTACCAAGTATGGTATACCAACTTCAGTCTGAAACATTAGTCATTATTTTCAGTTACTGTTTGTGTACAAAACAAAATTAACATTACTTTATATTATCTACAACAAAGGCAGCATTCCTTTTATTTTTATTTTGGAAGACAACTTCTCAAGATGCTTTGGACAAACCAAGTTCAACTATTCATTTGTAAAAGATATCTTACAGGTTTCCTTGTGGGAACTCTCTTGGAAATTAGACGTATATTTTAGTAAGGTAACATACATCTTTAAACGAAGCCTCCTCCAAACTCCACAACAATTAGGAACAGAAACTGTCATTCAGGAAGTTATTTTTTAAAGCTACTTCATCCTTGCGAGTAGAGTTCCTACAATCTATGCTAATTTACCACATTAAGCATCAAACTAAACATAAAGTGCTTTAGTTTTCAACTAGGATAGGCTTTAATGTTAAAAAATCAAAACATAAAAAAACAAACCAATCTGCACGGGAAAACTAACATAATTTGGTCGCCACTCACTTGAGAAACATGTAGCAGCAAACTTGACAACAATGATCCGTTATGGATTATCACACTGTCAAGACAATATCTCACAGGTAAACAAAAGTACTGGATAGGTAAACAGTCATGAGCAGATATATATTGTCAACACTGATATAATCTTACAACCATACTATTTTGTTTCTTCACATATTAAGGTAAAATACTATATTTTCTACATAAAACGTAACTGTTCAACACCATCTGACTTAAGGAATAACAAAGATTTACTACTGGTTATGCTGTATATACCTAACCAAGAGATCCCCGAGGGATCTTGACGTCCACCATCTGAAGATTATCGTATGTTAATAGTGTATGTAGGTTCTTTTTTCTTCATTCCTCTGTTCTCTTCTTGAACAAGCACATGTGCGTGCTGACACATTGTACCAAGAGGATCACACAAATCAGGCTCTTTTATTATTTATGAAGGGCTTGCATTGCTCTTGTTGCATAACTTAGGCCAAAGGGGACTGTGCATACCAAGTTTCATTATCTCTTTGTACTTTCTGAGATATAGCGCTAAAAAAAATCCATTTAATATCCATACAAATTGCAGGGTGGCCTGGTCGCCATTTATTTTTCTACTCCCACAGAAACTGATAACTTCCCTAACTGTGCCAAAAATCTTGACATGCAAAGTCCAAGACGGTGCTAATTTTGTTTTTCTGATCTATCTCAAATTTGACCATGCACACTATGGACCAAAGGGATTGTACATAACAGGTTTCACCAATAGGTGTCTGAGAAATGGCTGTCACAATAGTTGTTAAGGACCGACTGAGATGGACACAGAACCACAGATGAAAAGCAAGGTCCCACCATCAACTGGTGATAGTGGGCTAAAAACAGCAGGTACATTAATTGCATAATTTGTGAACAAGTTTTTTCAAATTAATGCTTACAGTACATTTTTTTTAACTTTATGATACAACATAACCAACAAATCAATACAAAATCTTCGTCATTCCTTAAACCTGCATTTGACAGGCAAATCATTTGTATATGCGGTATTATTTATCATTTTTGACAAAAAAATTGTCAATTAGCCTTCAAACTGTCATTAATGTTTTGAACAATCAAAAATTAACATTTAAAAAAATGTGCCAATCAGTGATGATTTTTTAGAGATTATCACATACATGTATAACCTAATTTTTGATAAGGCTTGTGAAAGGCAATATCTAATCATCATTCATTAAACTTATAACTATCACCATCGTTTATTTTGATTCAAAGGTCTGATAACTATCTTAGTCTTCACAGTACTGTCCCCTCATTACACATGCAAAACATGCAGAATAGAAAATCAGGTCTAGTCTAGTTGTATATATACTCAATTCACTGTGAAATATTCTGTATTGTTACCATATAAATTTAATGTAGATATACTGTATTACGTAATACACTGCCAATATACCATCTATAAATACTGTGCAAACGTTGTTCTCATATTGTACATACAGTACAGAAAAAAGCCTGTTGTGCAGAGACACTGATTTGAAAAACATTTACGAGTTTTTAACAGAAATGTCTCTGTACTTTATTGTTTGGTTTTCCCTTTAATTTGTTTTGACTATTGAAACTATTTGTTCTTACACATTAAAAAATAGGACATTATGGAATATTACTTCAAGATTTTGGTATCCTTAAATCTTTTCATCACCAAACAATGTCACAAAATATTTAAAATATTAAATATATCAGTGTTTCCACATTCCAGGCTAAAGAGACAAATAACATCCCTAGGTCAAATATAAATTGTTAAATATCTTATCCCTAGGTCAAATATAAATTATTAAATATCTTATCCCTATGTCTAACACTAGATGTTTTGGTAATTGAGAGTAGTCTACTTCCTATTGACCTTACTATAAAACACTGCATAAAGATAGCTAAGAGTTATTCCCCCTTATTCTGAAAGGTAGGACTTGCTTACTTAGGGTACATTCGCGTTACCGGTTGAACCGGTTGAACCTGTAAAGAAAACGACAGGTACAGATTTGGACCGAGGCTGACCTCAGGAAAATTTGGTACGTGTAGATTGAGGGGTCCAGACGTACCTGGCCGAAACTAAACTGCTGAATATTGCTAGTTTGCGTTATTTCTTTCTAAAACAATGTCAAGCCACATGTATTTTTTAAGATACGTTATGTAATTTAGTGGACGCGTGAGAGAAGGGCATAATATTCTTGATACATTGTTTATTATTCTCCGAAACTGTGGATTTTTAGCTCTGCTTATAGAACGGTCCAAGTGTGTTCGTTTATCGTGGAAAATTTCTGCGCCACACGTACCGTTTCAACCGGTAACGCGAATGTAGCCCTGGTGTCAATTTTGATAAAACATTAATATTCTTATATCCCTTTCTGTAACCCTGATATAAGTCAAGACTTTTCTTCCCTACAGCTCTAGAGTTATCTCCCTTTTGATGATGTTGACACACAGCACTAATATTCATAAGCCATCACCCATGCTGTTACCATTATATATACCACTAAACATATATATGCATTATACACAAACTGCTGAGATAGAGAAGAATTATCTCCCCTGACCTACCTGGACACGGAGCTGGCTGCACTCCTCGCCCTGACAAACACCTTTGGTCAGATAGTACTCACTGACCTCATCTAACTTTGTGCTGAAGTCACTACCAACTGTAACATATAGAGTCAATCACAGTCAGATTAAAACAGGAATTCCACAGGAGTGGATGTGACGCCTGTTCAGCGCTTTTAGTAAGAAAACTCGACAGAAAAACCCGTAATATATGTTGAACATTATTGCTTGTAGCATTACCATACAAAATTTGAAAGGAATTAATTAAAAAAAAAAGTTCTTGCATTTACTACACATTACCATTATTTGGCAATAAAAGGGGCATAACAACACCAAAAATGCATGTAAACTTCTGAAATGCGAACTTGACCGACCGAATCAACTTATCGCAGACGCCGCAGACGCCGCCAAAGTAATACCTATATGTTCCCTCGGGTTGCAGGCCACACAAAAAAAGATCAAATTCAATAGACGTTATTCCGGATTGATTTGGTCATATGCCTTTTACCATTTGTTCCTCTTGGAACACAAATTTGACACATTTCTTCCCCTGTTGACCCCCAAAAGAGGCCTTCCACTTCACCTCGGGTTCCTCCTTTCAAATTTGATTCTTTAAGGCCTTGTGGTTCTTGAGAAGTAGTTGTTCAATGGAAAAGTTTTTAGACTAAAGCTACATAACAATCATTAGTCCTTAAACCAACTTGTTCAACCTATTACAGTATAATTACAATTCAATGTGGACTTTTATCTTGCAAAAGTTCTTCTTCACAACAGAATATTTTTTCAATTTCAAATAGTATTGTTTTATCCCTTTTCCAGCTCGCAATGATAGCTTACTCACATGTAGGTTCCTCTGGTCCACCGTTGGAAGCCTGATTTTTGGCAGATGGACATTGTGCCCCGTCTCCACTCACTGATAAGGAAACACATCAATCCAACAAATGTTAACCACAATCATAGATTTATTTTCAATTTTTTAATTCAGGAAAGTAGTTGATTTTATACTGAATACATAATGTTCAGTCCCCAAGATTAAAAAAATAACATTTACAAAAACTATCAAATAGTCCCCTGAAACTATTTCTCTATCACATTGTCTAACTAGAAGATAGGGTGGTCGGGTGGCACAGCGGATAGCACACTTGCCTGTCACCAAAATGGCTGGAATTCGATTCCCCAATTGGATGTGAAAAGGAATGGGGTCACCTGCCTCCCCGCACGCTAACATCCGGGCCAACAAGAGCGATAAATATAACTTGTCTCATGATTGTTGTAAAAGAAATAAAGTTTACATATCATATTAACTAGAGTGTTGGAGATGTAGGAGCTGATATGTTCCTCTGTATTAGATGTAGGAGGAGCTCACTCATTTGTCTGTATCAGCACTTACAGGCAGGGAGTTCCCCTCCAGGATGGATGTCCCCTGCACAGCTGTCCAGTTTGATGGGAGTGACCGTACAGGTCTGAGTACAATGACCATTACACTCGCCGGACTTACTGCGACTCCGAGTCTCAATCACACACTTCTCCTCACCGTTCTCCTGAGACAGTCAAACAGGTATAAAGAATTTTACTTTTGTTGTAAATTTTGCTTGTTTCATCTTTTATACTCGAGAGGTTGTTCAGAGTCTAAATTTTTCATGATTTACCAGGTTTTAAATATTTTCTGCTTATGATACACATCAGTACTCTACGAAAAAGATTTATTTCCTTATGTCAAAAAGTAAACTTCATCCCCTTCCTAGAAGGAATGTGTGTCTGTGTGAAGGGGGTGGAGGTGGGAATAGGTGGCCAAGAGGTAATGACATTCATAATCTTCGGTTGTATTTGTTAATTGAAGCTTTCTACAAAATCTCAGTTGGCTCAGAATTTTCTAATAAATAAGTAAAAAGGTGATCGTTTCTCCACAATGACATACAAAACATTATGTGTTGATATATGCTTGTCACTTACCCTTTTACAAATAACCCTGCTCTCTGTTTCTTTTCCTTTTCCAAGGGGAGCTAGCCGAGGCTGACAGTTGGCTGTTGGGACGGGTGGTGCGGTTTCCTGTGGAGCTGCAGACTGTGTGGCCTGGTGGTATCGCTGGAAACACTTTATGGCCCGTAAGGTACTGACTACCTCCGGATTATCTGGCTGGATCTCCAATGAGATCTGGTAGTGCTTGACCGCTCCAGTATAATTCTTGGCCGCCCATAACACATTGCCGAAGAAGAAATGGGATGAAGGCTGAGAACAAAAATGTGTAAAAAAAAAAATCACCTGCATTCTTGCTCAGTTCATATTTGCTTTGCTTCTTTGAAGGAAAAACAATAGTCATAGCATCATAATTTAAATACTTGCATCCTCTATCATCCAATATAATTTTGAAATAGTTTTTGCTGAACTGTGATAATGAATCTTCACTGCTTAAGCAGTATCATAACAGTTTCAAAATTTCTATTATTCAGTTATATACCTGTAATATTCTTTAACTAATTAAAAAGTTATCTACTTGAACAAATTAAAAAGTTATCTACTTTAACTGTAAATTTAAAGAGTCGAAAAGTCTGTTTTTCAGTGACCATGACCTACTTCAATGTCGCTGATATTGAGAGCGTCCCTCATGACCTTGACAGCGTCGTGATAGCGACCCCAGCGATAAAGGATATTCGCAAGGTTGACAAGGGGAACATCCTTGTATTTGTCAGGGACATGGACCAGTGAGCGACGGATACACTCAATACCATGGTAATTGTTCCCTATGATGCGCCAGTACATCCCTGCCAAGTTATACAACATCCATTTGGGACCAACACTCTGAAACAAACAAAGATCCACTGATAGTTTCAATAACCTCTTCTGTTACCACACGGCCATTCACATGGTTTAACAGGGTCTCCTGGCTACTCTCTGTCACATATGTATACCCACCGTTTTGTTGCTACTTATTAATTATGCAGTCATGGGGTGTTTTTGGCTGCTAGAGGAATCCTGTACAAGGTCTGATGACCTAGACTAAGTAAAATTGTTGAGGATATAAACTAAAACTTGTTTCTACTTGACTAAATGAAGAGCAAAATATTTCAAGATTTTTTTTTTTTTTTTTTTTTTTTTTATTAACCGTACTTTATAAACAAGTATTGTAATTGTCGAAACACTGCCAACATATCTATATGGGCATTATGAAAAAATATGTACATAATCAATTGAAGAATTATATAATTACTGTTTTTCTTATGACCTAAATAAGAAAACTTAAGGAAAATGTCTGGAAAGAAATGATGCCAACATTCCCCTTTGAAGTAACAACCTACCTTTTTGAGTGCCGTCAGTATCCTCTGCCCTACATTCCCCTTTAAAGTAATTTAACAACCTACCTTTTTGAGTGCCGTCAGTATCATCTGCCCTACATTCAATCCCCTTTGAAGTAACAACCTACCTTTTGAGTGCAGTCAGTATCCTCTGCCCTACATTTACTGTTGAAGTAACAACCTACCATTTTGAGTGCCGTCAGTATCCTCTGCCCTACATTTACTGTTGAAGTAGCAACCTACCTTTTTGAGTGCCGTCAGTATCCTCTGCCCTACATTAACTGTTGAAGTAACAACCTACCTTTTTGAGTGCTGTCACTATCCTCTGCCCTTCATTCCCCTTTGAAGTAACAACCTACCATTTTGAGTGCCATCAGTATCCTCTGCCCTACATTTACTGTTGAAGTAACAACCTACCTTTTTGAGTACCGTCAGTATTCTCTGCCCTACATTTATTGTTGAAGTAACAACCTACCTTTTTGAGTGGTGTCAGTATCCTCTGCCCTACATTTACTGTTGAAGTAACAACCTACCTTTTTGAGTGGCGTCAGTATCCTCTGCCCTACATTTACTGCTGAAGTTACAACCTACCTTTTTGAGTGCCGCAGTATCCTCTGCCCTACATTTACTGTTGAAGGAACAACCTACCTTTTTGAGTGGTGTCAGTATCCTCTGCCCTACATTTACTGTGGAAGTTACAACCTACCTTTTTGAGTGCCGCAGTATCCTCTGCCCTACATTTACTGTTGAAGGAACAACCTACCTTTTTGAGTGCCGTCAGTATCTTCTGCCCTACATTTACTGTTGAAGTAACAACCTTCCTTTTTGAGTGCCGTCAGTATCCTCTGCCCTACATTTACTGTGGAAGTTACAACCTACCTTTTTGAGTGCCGCAGTATTCTCTGCCCTACATTTACTGTTGAAGTAACAACCTACCTTTTTGAGTGCCGTCAGTATCCTCTGCCCCACCTCCTCCTCTGTTACCACACCGCCATTCACATGGTTCAACAGGGTCTGTAACATACCAACACACTTTACAAGTCTATGTCTACAGTACACAAAAAATGTCTAATGTAAACAAATTCACACGGATCCTTTTCATCAATTCATATGGGCTTTAGTGTTCAGAAATATTAAGTGAACTTATAATGAAATTATACTGAATACTTAGTAAGGGGTGCCTCGATATGCCAATTTTCCCATTACCATAAACAAATCTGTAGTTGTGACCTTAAACTTGAACATCTGATCTTAACCTTTATCTAGTCTTGAAAAGGGACTGTCTTAAAAAATGTTGTGAAGTTTTACAAAATTTTGTAGAAAATTTTAGTCAGGAACCTTGGGACAAGCCAAATGTTGATAGACGGGCACGCAAAAACAGGGGAGCTTATGACCTTGACCTTCAACAGTGACCTTCTACAAGTTTTGAGGGATTGCTATCAGGGATATGTTTTAAGTTTTATGAAATTTAGATAAAAACTTGGTAACATGTGAACAAATAACTTGATAACAGACAGTATAATTTAGGAGGCACGGTAGTCCAGTGGTAGGACGCCGGGCTTGTGACCGAAGGGTTGCGGGTCTGCGCCACAGCACAGCAATGTGTTGTATCCTTGAGCAAGATACTTTACTCCGCTTGTTCCAGTCTACTCAGCTGTAAATATGTATGTGGTTGGGCAGTGCTATAATTGTTGAATACTAGCTGTTAGCGCCGAAATGGCAGCTCCGGCTGTATGTTCCCCAGGGAGTTGAGAAATGTACTGGCTAGCTGCAAAGGCCCTATAACCACGGATAATAATTTGTGAACCACTTTAAGACGACCTACGAACTAGGTTGTGATAAAGCGGTATATAAGAACCTCAAATCATTATTATTATTATTAAGATCTCTAACATTGCTTGATCATGAATTGATATCTGTCCTCACCTGTCTGATAGATTTGTCAGACATTTTTAGTGGCATCCTCGTACGCTCCTCTCGACTGACAGATTTGATGTGGTCATAACTCTTAGCACTGCCCTCTGGGATCTCCTCCAATGGGACACACACTGGGGGGTACCAAGGAAGTGGGTGCTCATCGCCTGGAGTCAAGTTCTGAGCCTCTGTCAACAGTGCCTTAATCCTATAACACAGAAATAGTACTTTTTATCATTCAATATGACTTGAAAAATACAATTAAATCTTATGCATGAATGGGGCCTGGAGCATAGCCCTTTGATTGGGTATTATCTGCATATTGTAATAAAATTGAGAAGAAAAAAATAAGCTTGAATCCCATTGGCAATAAGATTAACGTTCAGTCCCAACAAGAGACCCAGAGAGCCTGTATCGCTCACCTGAATATTTATGCAGTCATAGCGAAATATTCTCATTAAATGTTATCCTGTACATCAAATATTTCACTCATAAACTTTGTTGGCTCCATCCCAGGAAGCTACCAGCTAAATATTATAAATTTATACTCTAAGATTACTCAGAAGAGGTCGTTTAATAGTTTGACATATTTGACCGCTGTGACCTTGTAGGTATGTCAAGGTCATATCATTCTCAAACTTTGTCTGGCTCTATACCAGGAAGCAACCAGCCAAATATGAAGATTCAGAACCTTTCAGTTCATCATCAGAAGTTGTTTGAAGTGTTTGACACATTTGACCCCGAAACCTTGAAAGTATGTCAAGGTCATTTTTATTCTCAAACTTTGTCTGGCTTTACCCCATAAAGCAACCAGCCAAATATAAAGATTCTATTCCTTTCAGCTCTTCAGAAGAAGTCGTTTGAAGTGTTCAATATATTTGACCGCTGTGACCTTGTAGGTACGTCAAGGTCATTTTCATTCTCAAACTTTGTCTGGCACTATACCAGGAAGCCACCAGCCAAATATGAATATTCTGAACCATTCAGATCATCATCAGAAGTCGTTTGAAGGGTTTGACACATTTGAACCATGAAACCTTGAAAGTAGGTCTGGCACTATACCAGGAAGCAACCAGCCAAATATGAATATTTTGAACCATTCAGATCATCATCAGAAGTCGTTTGAAGGGTTTGACACATTTGAACCATGAAACCTTGAAAGTAGGTCAAGGTCATTTTCATTCTCAAACTTTGTCTGGCTTTATGCCAGAAAGCCACCAGCCAAATATTAAGATTCTATACCTTTCAGTTCTTCAGAAGAAGTTGTTTAAAGCATTTCACATATTTGACTCCTGTGACCTTGAATGTAGGTCAAGATCATTCTCATTCTTAAACTTTGTCAGATTCTATCCCAGGAAGCAACCACCCAAATATGAAGATTCTATACCTTTTAGTTCTTCAGAAGAAGACTTTTGAAGCGTTTGACATATTTGACCACTGTGACCTTGAAAGTATAGGTCAAGGTAATTTTAATTCTCAAACTTTGTCAGGGTGCTATCAATGAAGCTTTCAGCCAAATATCATGAATCTAGGCCTGTCCATTCTTTAGAAGAAGTTGTTTAAAGGAAAAGTTGATGGAAAACGATGGATGACGGACGGACGGAGCACCATGACATAAGCTCACTTGCCCTTTGGGCAGATGAGCTAAAAATTACATTACTTTGTACAAAATATATATACCTACTGACGCAGTTACTTCTATGTCTGTTAAAACTTATTTTTTCCTGGAATATTTAAGTTTAAACACTTCCCTACATTGTATATATAATTCCCTTTAAGTTGTGTTACAGGAAATTGAAAACTGTGATTTCCTGGAGAGGAAATACTTAAAACCCTCGCTATCAAGGAAAACTTCCTCAAAGCCATGTTTTTCAACGAAAACTGATTTGCAGCCCTGGTTTATGAGATACTTACTCAAAGCCCTTGTTTTCCGGTGAAAGGTAGATCATGGAAAGGTTGTGGGGGTCGGGGACTTTCTGTACATGGGTGTCACACTCCTCTTTACCCGGCCAGTCATCATCCAGCAGGGGCATCTAAAATTAGTCAAGTTATACTTCTAGTAACCAACACTGACAGTCACACTTTTCTAAACACATATATTTGACTTACATAAAATGTATATAAGACAAGCTGCACACCAAAGGTACCAATATATGAAGTTTCCACGATATCTGACAAGACGTTAAGTAGGGGTGTTTCAGATATTAATTCATTTATGAACAAAAATTTACAAAAAGGGACAGCTCCCATGGAAAGACAGGATAAAGATAATGATCACATTTGTACACCGTCTGAGTGTGGTGATTACATATGTTAGGATTTCACAAAATTTGGATTAAAAACGTTGGAGGATTCTGTGCAGATTAGATTTTGCAAAATAGTGAAATTAATAACGAAAGAGCAAAAATGCACACCTTCAGAGCGCAGGGCAAAGTGCTTGCAAAGATTTTGGGGAGGGGACTGACTAAATTTTGGAGAGACCATTGACAAAAAATCTTTGCTGCTTTTGTTAAAATCCACGTCAATGAAAAAAGCCCCATTTTTTTGCTTCTACATACTGTTGTAAATATGTATGTATACATGTGCCAGCAACATCTTGTAAAAGTGTCAAATAGCCGATACTGCATGAGCAACCTCATGCAGTATCGGCAACCTCAACTTGGATGTATCAAGTCATTTAGAAACAAATAGAACCTCAGCTATAATCACATTCTTCGCCGATATACAAATTGAGCAGAACATATGAGTACAACCCACTGTTAACACTGCCCATATACAGACACTATGCTTTAAGGATGTACTCTTCTGAGGTTTCAATCACGTTCAAGTCTCGTTTTGATCTGGTGTAATGAGTTTTTGTAATATTTAACAACTTATGATCAAGTTTATTAGCAAACACGCATTGGAAAAATATGTCAAAAAAATATATGCCTGTTGTTTGTAGAACTTTTTTTACAAGAATTTAAAAAAATTACCAATTCGGCGGTCATTTTGAAAATGTGTAATATTGTGTAAATCTTGTGCTTCAAAAAAGGCCAAAATTTCACCTTTTTTGGCACTAGATTGATCACTTAAATTGTCATTGTGTCGCCATTTTTAATTGTAGCAGGTTCATTTTTGCTGTACAACTTTATAATGTTCAATATGATAAAAATAATATGCAACAAAATGGAAAATTATACATTATTGATATTTTTTTTACGTATTGAGTGTAACTGAAGCACTTTTGATTTATGACCCCGAAAACGTTAAAAATAACACAAATGATAATGGGACAAAAAAAGAAGCACACTGACCCCCCATTTTTGTAGATGTTTTAGAAAGAGAAACACGTTTTCATTTAATTCATTAAATATTAAAAAAAGTTAAATACCAGAACTTTTTATATCAAGCGTTTAATCTGTAAAAAAAATGGTGAAAAATGAGTATTTTTTCATTAAAAAATAGGGGGTAGGGGTAACTAAAATCAGCTTTTTGAGTTAAAACAATAAGATTAAGAAATTTAACTTCCATAGTTTAAAAGAAAATAATATTTTCAACAATTCTACGAACATTTATACATATCTGATAACACACTTGGAAGAAATTGCATGAATTTGTTCTGCAAGTGGTCAAAACCCAAAAAATCACCTAAAATCACATGTTGTGGTAAATTGGTATCTTTGACCGATCATAGCACAAAAACGAGCACACGGACATATGTCGTTTTTTGCATTTTCTACTATGCCATTTACTCCTTTTTCCAAAAATCCATATAAGAAAAAAAGTTTAATACAGGAGATTTTTGACTTCTCAGAGGTGTACATCCTTAAGCATTTTCTAGATATTTTAGGAATAGTCATTTTTAAATGAACCAATTAAGCATATTTATTTTCTCTCCCTCCACCCCACCACTACACACATTTTCCTAAAAATTAAATAACCACATTTTGAAGGCAAGTAGTCTAGTGGTACAACGCCGGGCTCGTGACCGAAGGGTTACGGGTTCGAGTCATGTCACGTTACTGTGTTGTATCTTTAAGCAAGATACTTTACTCCGCTTGTTCTAGTCTACTCAGCTGTAAATGAGTATGTGATTGGGCAGCGCTAGAATTGTTGAATGCTAGATGTTAGTGCCGAAATGGCAGCTCCGGCTGTATGCTCCCCAGGTGGTTGAGAAAGATATTGACTGGTTGCAAAGGCCCTATAACCACGGATAATAATTTGTGAACCGATTTGAGACGACCTTCGTATAGGTTGTGAAAAAGCAGTATATAAGAACCTCGAATTATTAGTATTATTATTATTATCATTTATTTTGCAGCCAGTTGTGTACCTACTTTAACAGTAGCCTCTTTGCTGCGTCCGTCCTTGGTGAAGAGGGGGTCGCGTACAGGTTTAGAGTAGTCGGTGGTTTGTGGTCTCTCGTCCCGTGTATTAGTGGGCTGTAACGTTAATACACGCTGTTAGGTGTTGTTAGTGGTGAGTGATACCTATTGAGCTGTCATGGTTAATATAGAGCAAAAATTATATTTGATAATAAACTTGTAAAATTGATACTATTTATTTAAATGAGATTTATTTTAAGTTAGAATTTTATGTCAATTCTTTTCCAGATACACTGTTCATTTTCTATACTGTATTTTATTCTGTGTAACACTGTCACAGTAAACTTATAAACTGGACACATGACCTTTATTCTGTGTAACACTGTCACAGTAAACTTATAAACTGGACACATGACCTTTATTCTGTGTAACACTGTCACAGTAAACTTATAAACTGGACACATGACCTTTATTCTGTGTAACACTGTCACAGTAAACTTATAAACTGGACACATGACCTTTATTCTGTGTAACACTGTCACAGTAAACTTATAAACTGGACACATGACCTTTATTCTGTGTAACACTGTCACAGTAAACTTATAAACTGGACACATGACCTTTATTCTGTGTAACATTGTCACTGTAAACTTATAAACTGGACACATGACCTTTATTCTGTGTAACACTGCCACAGTAACCTTATAAACTGGACACATGACCTTTATTCTGTGTAACACTGCCACAGGAAACTTATAAAATGGACACATGACCTATAATCTGTGTAACACTGCAACAATAAACTTATAAAATGGACACATCACCTTTATTCTGTGTAACACTGCCACAGTAAACTTATAAACTGGACACATGGCCTTTATTCTGTGTAACATTGTCACAGAAAACTTATAAAATGGACACATGACCTTATTCTGTGTAACACTGCCACAGTAACCTTATAAACTGGACACATGACCTTTATTCTGTGTAACACTGACACAGTAAACTTATAAACTGGACACATGGCCTTTATTCTGTGTAACATCGTCACTGTAAACTTATAAACTGGACACACGACCTTTATTCTGTGTAACATTGTCACAGTAAACTTATAAACTGGACACATGGCCTTTATTCTGTGTAACACTGCCACAGTAAACTTATAAAATGGACACATGACCTATATTCTGTGTAACACTGCAACAATAAACTTATAAAATGGACACATGACCTTTATTCTGTGTAACACTGCCACAGTAAACTTATAAACTGGACACATGACCTTTATTCTGTGTAACATTGTCACAGTAAACTTATAAAATGGACACATGACCTTTATTCTGTGTAACATTGTAACAGTAAACTTATAAACTGGACACATGACCTTTATTCTGTGTAACCCTGCCACAGTAAACTTATAAACTGGACACATGAGCTTTATTCTGTGTAACACTGCCACAGTAAGCTTATAAACTGGACACATGACCTTTATTCTGTGTAACACTGCCACAGTAAACTTATAAACTGGACACATGACTTTTATTCTGTGTAACATTGTCACTGTAAACTTATAAACTTGACACATGACCTTTATTCTGTGTAACACTGTCACAGTAAACTTATAAACTGGACACATGACCTTATTCTGTGTAACATTGTCACTGTAAACTTATAAACTGGACACTTGACCTTTATTCTGTGTAACATTGTCACTGTAAACTTATAAACTGGACACATGACCTTATTCTGTTTTACTTTCAAAAACATTGCGTTTATGTCTGCATTTTTTGTGATCACTAGGTGAGAAAAGCATTTTTAGGTGCTGTGTCAAGGAGTTAGCTCTGTTTAGTTATCCTCACCTGCCTGCTGTCCTTTGGAGAGGTGGCATCCACAATTTCCTCCTGTATCTCATAGTATTCTACAATAGAGGCTTTTTTCCCCCAGGTACACATGAGAACCTGTTTGCCCTCTCGGTCCACCATCCGACAGTATTCACCTACACAATAGATAAAACCAATGACAATATATATATAGCCATCATTTCTGGAAAAATTGCTGCTCCCTCTTTTATTGGGTAAAAATAAAAATATAACTGCTCCGCCAAGCAACCGTCTCCTTCTGTCCATCAGGATTTCTTTCATAATGAACTATAGTATGTTGCTCTCCAACATCAGGTACACTCAATTTCAAGTATTTTATCTTCTTGATGTTGAATAAAATATGGGATAGAAAGCATGTTCCGGATTCTTGGAGAAAAGCAATTTCTATAAATAAGAAGAGAAATAATGGACACTCACAGAATCTTCTTTATAAGTTTGGATAAATTAGTAGCTTGTTGAAGTGTTTTACCAACTGTTTTAAGATTTGGGGATTTTTTTGGGGAATTACGAAAAAAAATATGTCTAAATCTCACAGCAAATTTATTTATACCATGCCATACCTATATCTATGGTAGAGTCTTGTATTTTGAAATTTTCAAATGCTTTGTGCTGAAGTAGTTTGACATCATTTGACACCTGTTCTGATATAAGTTTCTCATTCTGATTCTGCCAGAAATCATGTTTCTTCTGATAGTCCTTTAGGTCATTCAGTGTCCTCTGAAGTGATCTGTAAAATAAAATGAAAACCTTGAAAAAATGCTTCAAACTGTAGACAATATTCTTTCTAAGAACTTTCTTCTGATTTCTAGTATTAAATCATTTTTATCTATTTAGGGAAAAAGATGACATGAAAATAAAAATCTAATATCCATCGAGGTAAATACCCCTTCAAAGCTAATATCCACTGAGGTAAATACCCCTCCAAAGCAAATACCCAATGAGGTAAATACCCCTCCAAAAGTTATATCCACTGAGGTAAACACCCCTCAAAAGCTAATATCCAATGAGGTAAATACCCCTCCAAAGCTAATATCCACTGAGGTAAATACCCCTCCAAAGCTAATATCCAATGAGGTAAATACCCCTCCAAAGCTAATATCCACTGAGGTAAATACCCCTCCTTGTTTCTCCTGATGATCTATTATTTTCTATCTTGAGAGAGTTCATAACAGTCACTTTGTCGCACCAGGATACACACATCTATGAAATTTTATTACAAATTTAGATGTAACATGTAAATTATGGTTTGGACACAATCCTTTACTGCAGATAAAGGGTAAATAAAGATAGATTTCAGAAACAAAATGTTCAGATTAACTCAAGGACATGTCCAGTACCAATTACTTCCTGTTACAAAGGTCCAGAATCTTCCAGTTCATCACCTGTTTAACAGAAGATTTACCTGTGCTGAGCTTCTAGAGCGTTTTCCAGTTTAGCATGGCAGTGAACAGCGTGTTTGCGTTTGGCTGCTGCTTCAAAGTCAGGCTGGATCTTAAGAGTATTTTCAAAGCAAATCACAGACTTATTGTACTCTGCTAGTACCTGTAACACAAATAGTCAAGGTCAAATTTCAAATTTCACTTACTGTACTCCGCTCGTACCTAGAACATGAACAGTAAAGGTCAAAGTTCACTTAAAGCAACTACCAAACTATAGTAACCTTAAGTAATATATAAAAGTATTTTGTCTACAACTTTACTAAATGTACAATTGTTTTGTAATTATACTATTCTACCAGGTAAGTGTATTTCTGTTAAACAGAAATGTGCTTCTATTTCACAACAAGAGGCCCAATGGGCCTGAATTGCTCACCTGGTATTAATCTCACACTTGTAATCTAAAACGTGAGCTAAAATACAACTACAGGCAGAATATCAGGGTTTGATTCATAAGAACCTATTAAAAGATTTAAACATATGACGCCTGTGACCTTGAATGTCGAACAAGGACATTAGGTTGAAAGTGGGTCAAGGTCATTTATTTAAACAAACTTGGTAGTCCTTCATCCCAGCATGCTACAGGCCCAATTTCAGTACCCTGGGCCTTTTGGTTATTGAGAAGAAGGGGTTTGAAGATTTTAAGACATCTGACCCCAGTGACCTTGAAAGTGGGTCAAGGTCATTCATTTTAACATACTTGGTAGCCCTTGATTCCAGCATGCTACTGGCCAAATATCATCATCCTAGGCCTTTTGATTACCGAAAAGAAGTTTGTTTAAAGTAAAAGACTGACGCCGGATGGACGGACGACGGACGGACAGACGACGGACGCCGCACCATGGCATATTCTCACTTGCCCTTCGGGCAGGTGAGCTAATAAATTTGTAAATCTATGTGGAAACTACATAGAGGACATTTAATGCTTTGTATGAACAGCACATATATATATACTTAATGGGAAATTTTCAATATAACAAGAGGCCCATAGGGCCTGTATCGCTCACCTTGATATCTAAGCAATCATAGCAGAATATTCTCCAAATGAGATCCAAGGGAATATGCCAGACCCCAAGGCCAATCCTTGTAGCATATATATCTGTATTCAATTTTTCATGCCCAGCAATTTTATGTATGGTTATGGGGTGGGGATCTCAACTGTTTCCAAGCTGTGACGCAGAAACTAGGTCCCTACGGTTGTGGCCAGACCCCAGGATCAATTCTAATATCATGACTGCATTTGTCTCTTTTTGCCCAGCATTTGTATATATAGTTTTGGGGTGGGGATTTCAACCGTTTCAAAGTTATGACCCAGGGGTTAAGTCTGCAAGGGTGGGGCAAACCCTGGGGTCAATTCTAATATCATGACTGCATTTGTCTCTTTATGCCCAACAATTGTATATATAGTTTTGGG